GGGGGGGTGGGGTTTAGGGGGAGAGGTACGTAAAAAAATATGGCATTTAAGGGGGGCATGCCAAAAATAATTACCTAAATAGAAAATTTATATAAAAATTATCCTGTTTTAATAGGGGGCCCCCGTAAGAACATTCAGGTTGGGAAGAGGTCATACATTTTTTCTACTTACAATTCACAAAATCCCACCAGCCCCTATGCCATTAAAAGATGAAAGGTTCCTAACATAGAAAAAGGCTGGCAATGAATCTGTGTTTGTGCGTGGACAGCAGCTCAGTCAAGCATTCTTATAGAAAGGAGATGAGTCAATTTACCTTGCTGGACTGTGAATCGTTTAGAACGTATTTACAGCCCTCCATAGACGATGACACAACTCGCTGGAACTGAACTTTGCATTTAGACCACAGGAACAAGGCTGCATCTATGATCATATCCATGTCCATGTGGCCAATGATGGACTGCAAAATAAGCAAAAGCGCTAGTGGTGAATGCTGTTGATAATGAACATTTGAACATTTAACAATTTGACTATTTGTAAACCCACATCAAGCACCTATTCAAGAAGAAATCTGTCAGATAAGGAGCATTAACTCTCGTCAACARAATATGTCATGTGGGATACGTTTAGTAAAACTAAACGGAACTTGCATCATAGTAAAATAATTCTATTTCAAAGTTTAACTGGTATGRATACATGATTTTAGAATTTTTACTTTTCAATTTATAAAAAAAGGACCATACTTCCAGACACCGAGTGCTGAACCGTCGTATGGCAGCGCGAAGCATTTACGGCTACGCCGGAGATTTCGACCCCGACACCGCTATCTGAAGAATTACAGACTGATCAGGAAACTCAGCCGAAGCCTAAGGGAGAGGCTAGTCGGCTCCTAGACCGTAGATGATTAACCCCTTGCTATGACCAGCAGACTCGAAATTTCTATTGTGACGCTGCTGGCTTTGAACGCGTACGCACTCCTTTCCACGATGCGCTTAKTAAAACTTGCAACATAGTAAATTTGATTTATTTACTTATTTAGCGCCTACTTTTTTAACCCATGCTGTTGATAACATGCACTACTTTTGTGATAATGGGTGTTTAACACTGTTGTGACACATATGCAGCTTCTTGAATACCTATTTTTATCTAAAGGGAATGTATCGAAGGCTCAATCCTTGATCGAGACCCCCATCCCCTTCCGCCCCCCGCACCCCTACCTAAACTGCTATAGACTAGTCAATACCTTGTAAGGTTCCAGTGAACAGGAATGCAGTACATCAGCTAGCTGTAGCAGATCATCCACCAATGATGTGTTCTTGGCTGTTAAAAGATAACACAAGCCCTTCCATCAAAACCTT